TGGCCGTGGCACCTTAAAGACTAACAGATTTATTTGGGCATAAGCTTTCGTGGGTAAAAACCTCACTTCTTCAGATGCATAGCTATGCTTATGCCCAAATAAATCTGTTAGTCTTTAAGGTGCCACCAGACTCCTTGTTGTTTTTATACATTAACAGAGCGTGTCTGAGAGGACCAGGTCAATCAGCACTCCCAACCTGACCCCTTATATGTCCCTGGACTCAGTAGGCTGGGTCGAGCAGCATTTCCAAGCTGTCACCCTCATAGGCCCTTGGATTCAGCAGACTACATCGAACAGCACTTCCAAGCTATCACCCTCGTATGCCATGAGCACCGCATCAGAATAAAGTACGCCTGAGCAGGCTGGGTTGAGCAGCACTTCAAAGCTGCCACCCTCATATGTTCCAGGGTCAGCACTAGCCCACTTTCACGTTACAGTTGTTCTGGTAGTAATCGGCTTGATGAGCAAACCACATAGGATTTTTGGGCACTGCAGGGATCTTTTAGCTTAAGTAGGAGGAGCATTGCTGCAGAGCGAATGAGGAAACCAAAAAACACTCACGAGGGGCGGGGGGATAGAGAAGCAACCAGCTTAATAATGAAAGTTATTTATTGCCAGGTAATAACCATAGGGGAGCCAAACAAACAAAACAGTTATCGTATTAAATCCAACCTAAACTTGATTATAGAAGTCAGGTTTAGAAAACTATAACTGATCACACAAGTCAGGGTCAGAAGGCTATACTCAGAGAAAGAGAGCTGGGTTCTCACCACTCCATGAAGCTTGAATTGATGGGGGGGGGGTCCCAGGTGGTGGTGGTAGCTGAGGGTCCAGAGTGCTGGAGACAGGCAGAGCCCCTAGCATGATCAGTTTGGAGAAGATGAAATCCTAATGGAACCGATGCAGATTTTGGATCCAGGCATCAGAACACTTACTTGAGCATGGGTAAGGTTTTTTTGTAGAGAAACAGTAATGGTTCAAGGGAGAACACTAGCTTTGTTTGTGCAAACTGGTGGCTCAAGGGAGAATACCAAAGTTGTTTTGTTCAGGCTAGACAATAGGAACTGATCATTCCTGGCTTTGGGCGGTGTTTCTTGGCGGGAGCTCACAACGCAATTAGGGAGCTTCGCTATTTTGGATACCCATAAAGGATTTATTACTAGAATTAGTCTGATAATTAATGAGCTGGGTGTGTGCAGGTGTAGGTTCGTTACCATCTGGAGCAGAGATTCCCCATGATGCAGTGCTTCTCTGCTTCTATGTTCCCATAGTTCCTTGCGGTTCTTGCCTTGGAATCTCTGTTTCCCATTCTGTATGCTAATGTAGATGCCTCCTTGTCCCATCTCCGATGCAAATGAGGCTAGGGGAGTTTCCTTAATCCTGTCATCCTTATCCCAGAGGTTTAGGTGTCTCTCTCCCTGCCTTTTCATTGCTTTTTGTAAGTCTGTCTTCTGATCAATTTTGATTCAAGCAGAGGCTCGGGGGGGAGGTCTTTTGTGAGTCAGGCACGCTGGGTACTACACCCTGGTTTCCCAAGAACACAGACCTGACGGGTAACAGTAGGGATGGACATGGCATAACGGGGGGCAGGAGCAATGGGGCAATGTTACAGGGGGAATGGGTCAGTAGGGACAGGGATGGCATAAGGGGGGCAGGGGAAATGGGGCAGAGTCTGGGGGGATGGGGCACTAGGGATGGGGTGGCATAAAGGGGTGCAGGAGGTACATGGCTTCTCCTCCTCCTTTGGGGATGATTCCTCATTGCCAGGACATCATATCAGTTTTCCATTACCATGGTGGATGGGTTGGAGGCAGGGGTGGAGAAGTAACCAGCTGCCAGTGTCCTCCCTGGGACAGAGCCATATGCTCTTCCCCCCGGCGGTGTGGGTGGGGGGCCCATTTCAAACAGTTGACAAGTTGTGTAATGACCCATCCACTCCAGTCTTTATTCAGGCCTAATTTGATAGTGTCAAATTAGGAGTGGATGGGTCATTACACAAACTAAAAACTATTTTCCCATCCTAATTTTTCCCCCTACTGTTACTCTCACCTTCTTGTCAACTGTTTGAAATAGGCCACCCTGATTACCACTACAAAAGTGATTTTTCCTCCTGCTTATAGCCCACTTTAATTGAATTGTCCCGTTAGAATTGGTAAGGCAACCCCCATCTTTTCATATACTCTGTATATATAGCTTCCGACTGTATTTTCCACTCCATGCATCTGATGAAGTGGGTTTTAGCCCACAAAAGCTTATGCCCAAATAAATCTGTTAGTCTCTAAGGTGCCACAAGTACTCCTCGTTGTTCTCCCCTTTTGTGTCTCTCTTCATGCCTTTTACGCTGTAGCCCTTTGCACTCAGAACTAGCCTTGCAGAAGGTGCACAAAATTATTATACTCCCTTAATTCAGATACTTCTAAATTGGGCTAACTCCCCTAAATCCTCACCTGTCCATTAACTGAAACAGACTTTGTAATAATAATTGCAATGTTTTGATAACCATCCTCTGGCTATCTAAAGCAGTTTTTCTTTCTCTCCATTTAGAACATAACCCCAATGAGGCAAGGACCATTTATTCCTCGATATCCTGTACAGTGCTCAGTAGGCATTCAGTGCTAATAAACATCAGAGCAGAAATGTAACATTGCCATCCTGATACTTGGCAACCATTGATTTCTTTTCCTTTTGGCTGTTATTTTCATGTTCTTTCTCAGAGCTCAAGTTAGTGCACTATTTGCCTTCTTTAGTTGTTTTTTTAGGCTTGGTCTACACTCTGCAGTACCAACTTGTGTTGGTATAACTATGTCACTAAGGGGCATGGATTTTCCACACTCCTGAGCAACGTAGTTATACTGACCTAACCCCTAGTGTAGACAGTGCTATGTCACTCATTGACATAGCTGCTGCTCTTGGGAAAGTGAAGTTCCTACGCTGACAGAAGCGTTCCCGTCAGCATAGGTAGTGTCTTCACTAAGCGCTACAACAGCGCAGCTGCAACACTAAGGGTATGTCTTCACTACCCACCGGATTGGCGGGCAGTGATTGATCCAGCGGGGATCGATTTATCGCGTCTAGTCTAGATGCGATAAATCGACTCCTGAGCGCTCGCCTGTCAACTCCTGTACTCCAACTCGGCAAGAGGCGCAAGCAGACTCACCGCGTGAAGGTACCACGGTAAGTCGATCTAAGTACGTCGACTTCAGCTACAAGTATCAGGGGGTAGCCGTGTTAGTCTGTATCTACAAAAACAACAAGGAGTCTGGTGGCACCTTAAAGACTAACAGATTTATTTGGGCATAAGCTTTCGTGAGTTAAAACCTCACTTCTTCGGATGCATCCGAAGAAG